GTCCGGCCGGTTGGGTTGTGTGGTGTTAATTAGGATGATTAATTTATTTTTTTATTAATATTTTTAATGACATGTCATGCTGACTGGGCAAAAGATAACGGAGTTTTGGACGGAAGTGGACGGATTGACCAATTCGTTATTCACTCAAACTTATTTTACCAAAACGTGCAAAATTAAAGGATTGTGACCGTTTTGTACAAAGTGAATAGGTTTATGACCATTTATGATAATTACCCTGGAGACGGGAGATGAATCTTCCAGGTGTGTGGTGCTAAAAAGGCATTTGCTAGTGATTACTCGATGGGCTGACCGAATGAATTAATAATCAATGGTGTGAAAGGCATGATTCGAACTTACGCAAAACAAAAACAAATTTGACACTTCTTTCTGCACTAATCATGTCAAATTATTATCATTATTCTTTATCTTTTGGAATAATTATATTAGCTATTTAGTAAACATGTTAATGTTATTATTGTATTGTGTATATATTGTGTATATGAGAGAGGTTTTGTGATGTGAAACTAAAAAATGTGCATATCACAATCCATTTTTTAATTTTATTTAATTTTATTATTATTATCCTTATTCATATTATTATTTTTTACTATACTTCACTCTCTATTTTTTTTTACTTTTTTTTCAATTCAAATTCATGATTATCCAACCTAAATCAACTCTGTTAAACGAGTGAACTCAATACTGACGAGAGTTTATAAAAAAGGATTGTTAGTTACTTTCATTAGTGCCAAATCAATTAGAAATTTTATTAATGAAATATTTTTGGTAAAGTTTATTAATTAATTAAAAATAATTGTATAATTATTTTAAGTGCCATTCAACTTACTGGTTACTCAAACTAATTCGCGTGGTCGTGTGGACAACGTGAGTTCAACTCGGAGTTGACAAGTTCTGGGTCGGGAACAAGTTTTACCCGCTTTGTAATTGACGGGTTAGTCAGGCGTGAATTTTGGCCAAGGAGGGAATTTTACCAGATTTTGTAATTGACGGGTTAGGTAGGGGGTGAATATTTTTTTAAAACTCGGCCTACTTTATCAAAATTTTAGTGTCATTTAAACTTACATTGTATTTTATAGTTATGAAAATTGAACTCAAACTCATTGGTCTTCAACCTAATACGCCTTGGTCAAAGCGAGTTGAACTCGGTGTTGACGAGTTCTATGTCATGAGCGAGTTTTAAGTCGGGAAAGAGTTTTACTCGCTTTTGAAAATTAACAGATTGAGTCATGTGTGTATTTTGTTAAAAAATTTGTCCGCTTAATCAAAACTTAAGTGTCATTAAAATTTAATTTTATTGTAGTTTCTCTTATGACAATTAATTCCAAACCCATGGGTATTCACCCCAATTTGACCAGGTCAAAACAAGTTGAACTGGTCTTGACAAGTTTTGGGTTGTGATCGAGTTTTACGTTATTTTTAAGTCAAAGGGTTGGGTTGAGTGTGGATTTTGTTAAAAACTCAGTCCACTTTTCATATGAATCGCACATAAAAAATAACGCAATCGACCCGGTCAAAGCAGGTTGAATTCGCTGTTGACGAGGTTTGGTTTAGGAGCGAGTTTTACATGCTTAAGTAATTAACAGGTTGGGTCGGCTAGGGATCTGGTTAAAAATTTAGACTGCTTTCCATCCTAATTGGAAGGAAAAAAAAAAACAATCCACCAAGTCAAAGCGGGTTGAGCTTGATGTTGATGAATTTTGAGTCAGGAGTGAGTTGAACCCGTTGTTGACGAGTTTTGGGTCGGGAGCGAGTTTTACCAAATGATTTAATGGTGGATTGGGTCAGTTATGGATTTTGTTAAAAACTGGGCCCAGTTTCCGTCTCACTCGCACTTTAAAAACAAAATAATCGACATGATAAAAGCGGTCTGAACTTGATAATGACGAGTGGTTTTTATTTGTCTGGGCCGAGTTTTACCTGCTTTTTTTATTGGCAGATTGGGTTGGGTCTAGATTTTGTTAAAACTCGGCTCGCTTCCATCAGACCCACACCCAAATAACAAAACAATCGGTTGAACTTTGTATTGATGAGTTTTGAGTCGGGAGAGAGTTTTGCCTCTTTTGTAAATGGCGTGTTGGGTGGAGTGTGGATTTTGTTAAAACTCGGTTCGCTTCCCATCTGACTCTCGTGCTAGGTTTGTTATTTTATAATGCATTGTAAATGTACTAGTCATTGTAATCAACAATGAAAGCATTTGACGCTATTGGTCATGATTAATAACACAGTTCACACATCTTCAAATAATATTCAAACGAGGGTGTTTGGTGACTTTTTGAGGAACAAGCTACGTTAAACTACTCTATGCCGTAGAAAGTTTAGTGAGAGTTGTAGAAACTAAAAGCTACAATTATATTGCAAAGAAAATATGAATTTTGACATGAGGGGTCAAATGTGAGTTTGGAACATCTCCTCCATCTTCGTTTATGCTATATATAACGTAACCACAAATTTATGTAAACCAAAACAGAATAATATATCATTCACTTCCAATATCATACTTACATGCCATGAATCGATATGTGAGGCTAGAAAGCAAGCAATTTCCCTGCAAACCTATCTGTCTATCTATTCCCCAGCTAAGAATGGAAATTTTTATGTCAAATCAAAGTTGGGGAAATACAAAAGAAGAAAAATTGGTACGTAGTGGGGTTTGGACCTTTCCACTCTGTTTGGGAAGAGGGGTAAATGGGAGGAGGGTGCAAATGTGAGGGGTAAATACAGTTTCCAACACATTTGCACCTGTTTGGTTAATTTGGAACAGTAGGGGGGTGCAAAACGGGAGTGCAAATTTACTGTTTCGGCTTACCCCCCAAATTGGGGTGCAAGGGAAGGGAGGAAGAGAGGGGGAGGGGGGAATTATGGAATTTTGTTTTTCTAATTGTGTTATATATAATTATATAATAATTAATATTATCAATTTCTTCTTTTTATAAATATTATTAATGTAAACATTATTCGGGGTTGACCATTTGACTCTGGAAACAAGTTTATCAATGTTCGTCAAGTCAAATCTAGATCTCTTGGTTGAATCGAATTTGCATTGAAAATTAGAGATACGAGGTGTTTGTGGAAAAGATAGAGAGAAATTGTTTGGTTAACTCAGTTTATTTGACTAAATAGTTAAAACTTACAAATTCGAACGTGTTTGACTAAGTTTGACAATTTAAGATTAAACTAGACACGAAAACCCTATATAGGATGACCAGTTACAAGTTGAGCTTCGAGTTTTGAGATCGCTCGATCAATGATTATACAATTGTCATAATTAATTATTATTTGAGCATTATTATATAATAACTATTTTTAGTAAAGTATATTTATTATTATATAGTAATATTTATTTTATTATTTTATGATAATATTTTAAAATTTTAAAATCTATTTTGTAATCTAAAATCTATTTTAAAATAATATACTTACTTACTTTTCATTCTATTTGCACCCCCCCTACTTTTTCATCCAAACAACAATTTACCCCTCCACTTACACCCCCCAGCAATTTGCACCCCCCAGCAATTTACCCCTCAACTTGCACCCTCCTGCAATTTGCACCCCTTTGTTGCCAAACAGAGCGTTCTGGTTCTCTATATTCTTCAATCTGTTGGGGTGGTGGTGGTGTGGTGATAGGAGGGAGTTGGGAAAATGAAAGAATCTGATCGAGTTTTGTGCAGTCCCACTATCGCATCAACTTCAATGGTCGACGTAAACTTATTATACGAGTGAAGTGATTTCAGTGGACGTACTTAAAAGATACCAAAATCAGTGTTTCTCTTCAATCTTCGGCCAAGGGTCTTATCGTGCACAGGAGAGCATTCATTGATAGAGTGATCAGATTTTGGGATATCATAAACACAGTAATTGTCGGAGGATTTTGCTTTGTGTGTAAAAATATTTGTTTGCATGTAATGAAAAGAGTTATGCATATATGTAGTCAGCGGCGGATCCAGAATGGATTAGAGCACTAGGTCACATTTGAAAAAGATGCAGATGGTTGGAGCGTAATGCGACGAACAAGTGTTATACTAGCTCTGGATCCAGAGGAGGGCTGTACCGTGGTCTAGGGGCGGCCCCCTTGGATCCGCCGCTGCATGTAGTGTTTCTCATGGTTGTCAAAACACATCTATGACATCTGACACAGTTAGGTTCAATCGATATTGAAGAAAATCGGCTAGAAGACTACCGGTATGAAGTGGTAGTCGAAACCGATAAAACAAATCATCAAAATTGAGAAAAGAGTGATAATACTGAAACGTTCAATTTTTTAGTCTCTATGCAAAACAACGTTGTTTCGATGGAATTAACTAACACAAAGAAAGAAAATTTTTTGGATTCAAGTATGCACATTTAGATATTGATGTTATCTATTGAATTCAAGTATAGACGTTTGGATATTAACGTAAAATGTTACATTTAAATATGATGATCAATCATTTTGTTTGCAATGTAATATTATATTTAGATATGGATGAAGACTACATCCATATCAACTTAAAATAGATTATAAAAATACACAATTAATTTCGTATTAACTGTTTGTCACTTCCTCGTATGCTTCGGTAAAATAATCACAAACTAACATATAAACCAGTTGTATCCCGCTCGGATCATGCCACTTTTTTTTGGGTGAGAAACAGGGCGCAAAGGGCGCCCTAGCCTGTATTACGCACTAACAAAACGGGGTGTTTGAATCCCCAAAGTATCAAAGTACAACCAATAACGAAGAGTGCTACTCGGGTTATGAACCGCATGAACCCCTATAGGAACAGAATGGCCAATGGAAGCGAGGTGGTCAGCCACGAGGTTCGCTTCTCTGAAAACATGCTCAATCCTGACAAGCCAAGGCCGAGCTAGCCATTGGCGGATCTCTGCGACGCAGGAGTAATGAGGATGCTGCGGAGTCGCTTTCTCTATCAAGTTCCGGGCAGTGCACGAGTCTATTTGAAGAACAACCTTCCTGATCCCCTCTTCCCAAGCGAATCTCAACCCATAAGCAATCCCAGCCAGCTCGGCACGAGTAATCGAACCCCCTCCCAGATTCGCTGTAAATGCTTTAATAAAGCGGCCATCGTCTCCCCTCAACGTAAGTGTATAAACCAGTTTGACGACCTTGATGATTTATATCCTCCATTTTCTCTGATGTACGGTATATTATTGTACGTACATTAGATAACACAAAAAGAATGTAGTTAAGTACATGTATAACATTGGACAAATAGTGTTCAGAAGATAAGTATTTCCATTTTATGGAAAAGCATTCTCAACATATACACAGTAGTAAGTGAAGAAATGTATATTTGCAAAAAGAAATTAGATATAGAAGAAGAAGACTTTGGGCATGGGACTTGAAGAAATGAATCTGAAATCATAGGGGAGCCGGCCGGCAGGGTGCTTGGTGGGGTTTGGGGCTTAAATGGCGTCCACTCTTTGTGTTGATGGTGGAGAAGTTTCCTGCCCCCGCCATCTTTCTCTCAATTCGACGGCCTTTATGTAAAAGGTTGGACCTTTGTGGAGAATTAGATATTCATAGCCCTGATTTTATAATGTGCTAATGGTAGTAGCTTAGCTAGGTTAGGACACAAATTATGAAAATCACTAGTTTGTTTTATTTGGGAGTGTTTATTCTCTTTCATATCGTGGAAAGGAATCTGGAGTTCCAATACGATCAGTACTGACCACTCAGTAACCAAATCTCACTAGTTTGTTTTATTCCGAAAATCCAAATATAATGATAGAGAATTAAAAACATTTTAAATTTGTTCTGGCTTTCTTAATCGACTCATATCTTATATGTTTTGATTCGGATTTCAATTTTTTTTTTACAGATGGAACGAGTTCGTTTCCTACAAAATGAGATTCATTTTCAATATTTTTTTAGAAAAGAAAATTTTTTCTCTCTCGTTACCAACTGCATACCATATGATATCTTCTTCGTTTTTAAGTCGTTTTTGAACATTTTTGCACAGAATGAACGAGTTCATCATGATCTATTGGACCAACAAATTTCTGGGTGAACAAAATACATGACCAAAAAATACCACACAATACCACCCAATACCACCCTAGTATGGGGTGGTATCTTGTGGTACACAATGTTGAAAGTGGTAAATGACAGTTAGTATACTCCTACTATCATGTATTCAATCATATGGTATACTCTTATTTAATACTAGTCAATACCATATGGTATACAATGGTAAGAAATGACTCAATTTTTTTTTGTTCCAAAAATATATCAAAGTTGATATCATTTTGAAGAGCACAATTAATCTCACCTAATTGTGCAAAAAAATTAAATTCCGACTTTAAACTAGTAAGAAATCGTCGTTAAAGATTAATAGGGAAAAAATTAAAGGCTTTCCAAGAGAGAGAATGAGCTCTGATGTGGTGATGTGGTGGATGGTGATTGAGTTATGCATAGTTACTCACCACAAGTTTTGTAGTTAAGAATACTGAATTGGTTAGATTAACAGAGAGAAGCTTATTAGCTTCCAATTTCGTTTTACATTAACAACTCCCACTATCTAATTGTTAATTTAATCAATGAAACAAAGCCAGGTGGGAAAAGCAACGTTACTTATACAATGGTCTAATTACCATAGATAGCATATATCACAATAGCATTTTAGCTATCTTTGTGTTGTTCTTCTCTATTCAACAATGTTCTTCATCAAGCATTTGCCATTCTTATCCATTTTGCTTCATACGCTCCTCAAGCTTGCATGTATATATCATCCAATATGTAGAATGGGCATGGAAATCTCTCTCTAGTAAACCATTTGATAAAAAGGATATCAATTGTGTTGTGAGACAAGAATTTGGTGGAATGGGTTCTCGAACTCACGTATGAAATCAAACTATAAATCGAAAGAATCTACGATAAAATAGGACAATGATTTGGTGGAATGACTTTGCGTACCTGTCGTGGTTGATTTTAGCAATGAGTGGCAAAAATCCTAGGTTATTTTTCGTGCCAGAATACAACGACTATGTTGGGGTAAGCGAGTGTATGGTCTCCTGTTTTAGGCACTCAAGCCATGCATTGATGATTTTACCCATTCTCTCATAATCAATGTGTGTGCCACCTTTCTTACCGGCAAATACAAGGGCACCCAACTTATTGCCACGAATATTGAGCAACAAGCAAACCTTTCCCTTGCATTTCCTATAGTTGAATAGGAGAACAACTCAGGTTGGACATGGTTTTTCCCCATTGTACACGCATGTAACACAACAAAGGGATATTTCCATACTTTCTTATCATTGCCATGTGATTGCACATGCAATGTACAATATGCCTAAGTAGCTTGGGTGGGAGTGGCGAGGGTGCCTACGACAATTCAACACACTACGAGAAAAGTGACTTTTCGCAACACGTGAAATATGTTGCATGAAGTATCGAAAGTGTTGCACATGTAATACGCGACACTTTTAGTAGTGTCCCCTATAGGTGGTGTTGTATAAAGTAATAAGTAACACTTTTTTCACTTTATGCAACACAAAACGTATGTGTTGCATATATATACCACTTATGCAACACTATATTTGGCAACATCTCAAAAAATTTATACAACACTTTTAACGAGTATAAGGAACGACTATATAATTTATTCGGGACACATTTTTTCGTCACGTAAGACTAATACAATCGTGACAACTTTATCTTGTAACAAATATTATACATTTGTGTGAATGTTGTGGTGAGTGAAGCTAGCTTTTGTGACAAGTTCGTACGGACACCGAACATATATTAAATGTGACAAGTTCAATTTTATCACAAATATATAACTTTTGTGACAAAACTATAGTCACATATGCAACACCATTGGTGACAGATTTTTTTTCTTTTTTGTCATAAGAATTATACTTTTAGTAACCCTTTTGTTGTCATGGAAGTATATTTTTGTGACGATAATTTTTTCAGATAAGAGCAACATCATTAACGAATTTGCATTGTACAAAATATTATATAAAAACAAGGATTGATTTATGGCCGAATAATATTACATTTGTAGTGATAACATTAAACTCCATTGGAGCTCCAACTCAGCCTACTCTTACACAGATGTGCTAAAACTACTAATAATACAATTATCTTATTCTTAAGCTATTCAAATTTCAAAATCATATATGAATATTCTTGAAAGTCTTTCTTCCTCGGGTGTGACTTTGCCTTCTCCATCGTCTTCCATCATTTACCAAAGAAGAAGCTTTGAATTGAATTAGGTATTGAAAACGGAACCTGCAGATTGTAGTGAGTAAAAGAATCAATCCATAAATTAGACTCTATAATTAAAAAGAAGAGCGACTCATATTATAGTTAGTAATCAAAGAGGAAACAGGTATGGAGTGCACCTGTAATAGGAATTAAACTCTAGCGATGTACAGTGGGAGTTCTTGAAGGTGATCTGAGCATTTGCGATGGCAATCGATTCGGCTGGTTAGAGAGGAAGCACTTAGCATAAGACTCCGAGTGGGGAAAGATCGATGACGGTTGCCAAGTGTTTATAGAACGATATGATACAACAACTAATTCATTCCCTTTTTTACCTATTATTATATTTAAAAGTGATCTGCCAAATCCTAATAACTAATGACAAAAAGAAGGAAACCAACCAAGTTAATGGAAAGTTATAAAGAAGATAATTTATTATCGTTACCATAATTTGAAAGAAAAGAATATTAAATTGATTCCTTACGGAAGATAAGTTATTGAGAAAGATGATTTCCTTACCAACGTCTTCTTCCATTAATTTTTTTTCTTTTTGAAAATAGTATTGTGTGTGACTACTTAAAGCCTCACAAAAGCACATTAAACATGTGTGAAGGGAAAATTCAGGTTTTACAAGAAAAAAGTGTGTCACTAATGAAATTCAGGTTTTATAAATTAATGCAAACCAAAATAAGATGGAGCATTTTTATGAAATTTAACCGATTGACTTTTAAAGTAACACTTTTTGGTATAGCAGGATAACCAATTTGTTGTTAACGAACATTACGCTTTGAACATTGGTATATGTGATGTGGCAATTTTATTGTTCAAATCTACGACATATGTAGGTTGATGCGACATGTCTAGATCCTATTCGATGATAATATGTTAGTCATATTTGATGACAATATGTTAATAACTATTAAATTGATATAATATGCAACATTTTGTATAAAATGTTGCATAAAGTGTAAGAATAGACAACACAATTTATTTTATTGCTCAAGTGTTGCATATTATTAAGTATATGTAACAAAAAATTTGGTGTTGGTCATTTGTGTTGTATAAGATATATGTTAGGCGACACATATCGTAATTGTTGCCTATGTCTATTTTATGTGACACTTTTAAAAAGTGTTGCACGGCAAGTGTTACATAAACCCACTTTTCCCGTAGTGACAATAGTTACAGCCAAACGTTTGGACGTGTATTTGGACAAAGTTTTGTTTAGAGGGTCAGTAAGTAGAGTTTAGTGTTTATTCTTTTTATTATTTGGTAGTGGATTTTTGTTCCTTAAATAAGCCTTACGTTGTTTTTTCAGCTATTGCTTACCAACCTCAAAAGTAAGAGAAAAAGTTGAAGAATATAAGAGACGTCCATCTTGAAGTTGCATATTGACTAGAAAGTAATGGTTTTTGGAAGCATACATCACACCAAGACGGAGGGTATAGGTATGACATCACAACAACGAACATGTGTGAGAGCTTCAATAGTTTGTATGTTGGCCTCCGTGCATGGCAATATCAGCTCTCGTATTAAATACCTTCTTCAGGATAGTTGAATGGTTCGTTAAATGAAACAAAATGGCCATTAAGATGTTTTTCAATGGGTACATCATCCCAAAGAGCTTATTCACGCCATATTGGCATGATTCACGTATGACTGTTGATTATTCACACAACTAATACTATTTAGTCACGCTACCTAGTGTTTATTCAAGCATATTGTTATTTACTCACGCCGTAAAATCAAATATTAAACTTTGAAATGTATCAAAATGAATGTCATTGTGTAGATTATGATCAATGCAACACATTTTTAAATATTAATTGAGCATCCAAATTTAATTCCTTAAAA